AACTTCTGCCTAAAACGTTAAAAAAGTAACTATTAATTACAAAATCTATGTAAAAACAATCATCAAGTACAGTACCCACTCCCGAATAATGTTTCGGTAGTACAACCGGAGCCGCACGATCGTAGCGGTCGTACTTTATAACGTAATTCTAACGAAACCGTAAAGGTCAGCACAAAATCAAAATAATCTAGGTATTGGGTTATCTTTTAACTTTAAAATAATTATAAACCACAATCAAATACTTTCAAATTACTATTAAAAATAATTACTTACCCGCGGCGCGGCGAGGATCGAAAAACGCAGCCATCTTTCATCTCAGCTCACAGGTGACTGACTGCTCCCATCCCATCCGTATCTATTTTCCGCGCGTAAAATACACCTTGCGAACGATCGACGCCGGTTGCGTTCGGAAAAAGTAAACCGTTTGGTGCCAGTATTTTTTTGAATTTAAACTCACGCTCGTATCAGTCCGAGTGTAAAGGGATAGGTTGTTGAAGGAGTTCGTGTATAAAAGAAATTTTCTAAGTTGTGGAAGGAGTTCACGTATAAAAGAAAAGTTTCCTAAGTTATGGAAGGTGTTCATGTATAGATGTCTTGTATAGAGGAGCTGCCGGAGATACATACCTGCAGTTGTACATATATATGGGGTGGTCGGGAGCCCGACTGCCTGAAGTACTGTAGCACAATGACTAGTCCTATATTAGGGACTTATAATATTAAACTCACATGATACAAAAGCAATACTATAGAAGGTCTCCATGATGAATTTGCATTACAATAGTAGGGTCGTGGGTTCGAACCCTATATATTAATGACTTATGAAAGTAAGGTCTATGATACAAAAGCAATAATATATAGAAGGTTTCTATGATTAATATGCATTACAATAGTAGGGTCGTGGGTTCGAACCCTATATATTAATGACTTATGAAAGTAAGGTCTATGTTACAAAAGCAATACTATAGAAGGTCTCTATTATTAAATATGCATTACAATAGTAGGGTCGTGAGTTCGAATCCTATATATGAATGACTTATGAAAGTAAGGTCTATGTTACAAAAGCAATACTATAGAAGGTCTCTATGATTAATATGCATTACAATAGTAGGGTTGCGGGTTCGAACCCTATATATGAATGACTTATGAAAGCAAGGTCTATGATACAAAAGCATTATTATTGAAGGTCTCCTTGATGCATAAGCATTGTATGGGGTGGTCGGGTGACCGACTGCTCCTAGTACTGTAGCAAAATGACTAGTCCTTATTAGGGACTTGAAAAGGAATATTATGGTGGCGTGTATGCTGCTTCACGAGCAATTGGTCCGAGGTAAACTTGGACTCGCTAACCGATGTGTCCTAGACATATCATCTTAGTGCCGGTGGTAAGCGGTTTGTTGTAGCAATACGGCTTTCCCGTGGACATCGCACACCCATACCGTTTGTGGGCGACGTCGTAGCGCATAGCGATGCGTCGTCTATAGTTCGGATTGGGATGAGTGTGTTTGGTAGCACTTTTAAGTGTAACAGGCATACTCAACTTCATGTCTTAGTGCATTAGCGCTATGATACGTGGAGTTTTGTTCATTGGCGTCTTAGTAGCGTGCTACTATGATACTTTGGTGATATTTTTTATATAACAATAAAAACTTTGTTACCAAAATCGATAGGGATCATGTGGGTGTGTTGTGAGGGGGCGCCATCCGTATGATAGTTGCATTGATGCTTACTGCTCCTTGCGGTATTGCGTCTTGTGATGGATCTGCGGGTGTGCTGCGCCTGATTCGACGCACTCTTGTGGTTCTGGTCGATGGAGGTAAACAAATAACCTCTTAGTGCCAGTGGTAAGCGGGTTTGTTGTAGCAATACGGCTTTCCCGTGGACATCGCACACCCATACCGTTTGTGGGCGGCGTAGTAGCGCATAGCGATGCGTCGTCTATATTTCGGATTGGGATGATGAGTGTGTTTGGTAGCACTTTTAAGTGTAACAGGCATACTCAACTTCATGTCTTAGTGCATTAGCGCTATGATACGTGGAGTTTTGTTCATTGGCGTCTTGGTAGCGTGCTACTATGATACGTTGGTGATATTTTTTATATAACAACAATACAAACTTTGTTACCAAAGTCGATAGGGGTTATGTGGGTGTGTTGTGAGGGGGCGCCATCCGTATGATAGTTGCATTGATGCTTACTGCTACTTGCGGTATTGCGTCTTGTGATGGATCTGCGGGTGTGCTGCGCCTGATTCGACGCATACCTGTGGTTCTGGTCGATGGAGGTATACAATTAACATCTAAGTGCCGATGGTAAGCGGGTTTGTTGTAGCAATACGGCTTTCCCGTGGATATCGCACACCCATACCGTTTGTGGGCGACGTCGTAGCGCATAGCGATGCGTCGTCTGTCTTTCGGATTGGGATGATGAGTGTGTTTGGTAGCACTTTTAAGTGTAACAGGCATACTCAACTTCATGTCTTAGTGCATTAGCGCTATGATACGTGGAGTTTTGTTCATTGGCGTCTTGGTAGCGTGCTACTATGATACGTTGGTGATATTTTTTATATAACAACAATACAAACTTTGTTACCAAAGTCGATAGGGGTCATGTGGGTGTGTTGTGAGGGGGGCGCCATCCGTATGATAGTTGCATTGATGCTTACTGCTACTTGCGGTATTGCGTCTTGTGATGGATCTGCGGGTGTGCTGCGCCTGATTCGACGCATTCCTGTGGTTCTGGTCGATGGAGGTATACAATTAACATCTAAGTGCCGATGGTAAGCGGGTTTGTTGTAGCAATACGGCTTTCCCGTGGATATCGCACACCCATACCGTTTGTGGGCGACGTCGTAGCGCATAGCGATGCGTCGTCTGTCTTTCGGATTGGGATGATGAGTGTGTTTGGTAGCACTTTTAAGTGTAACAGGCATACTCAACTTCATGTCTTAGTGCATTAGCGCTATGATACGTGGAGTTTTGTTCATTGGCGTCTTGGTAGCGTGCTACTATGATACGTTGGTGATATTTTATATAACAACAATACAAACTTTGTTACCAAAGTCGATAGGGATCATATGGGTGTGTTGTGAAGGGGCGCCATCCGTATGATAGTTGCATTGATGCTTACTGCTACTTGCGGTATTGCGTCTTGTGATGGATCTGCGGGTGTGCTGCGCCTGATTCGACGCACTCTTGTGGTTCTTCGATGGAGGTATGCGGGTGGTGATGTCTGCTGGGATGTATGGGGGACCTTGGAATGGTGTAAGCCCGGCGATAGTCGTATTGATGCTTGTTGCATTCTGCAGCATTGCGTCTCTGCGATGGTTGTTTGGTGGGACGCTATTCTCAATGGCGCTCTCTGCGTCTTAGATTTACTCACGCTTGAGTAGCTTTGCCCAAGACGGGTCCCTTCATTACGGGGCTGCAGACTGTCTGCCCTCCACGATGTTTTATATAACAACATAATATTATATCTCTGTAACTTTCCCACCTTTGAATGATTGAAGGCAACTTGTCGGTGGGTGAGACAAACATGATCGAAAATGCATTTACTCAACGTCACTGACACAAACCCTTTCTGATGGCGAATTATTACTCTTATCTTATAACTGCCTTTTGGCTATATCTGCCGTTGTATTGGTTGGTGGAGCATATGTGTCGACCTCATGCGGGTGGTAGCTGGCGGGAGGATCTGAGGAGACTCTCAAGGCTGCGGCCGAAAGCCACACAACATGGGACCCCATTCCCTTGAGGTGAGCGGTAGACTCATGACACGCTCTGCGGCTAGTTGCCGTGCTAATCATGCAATTGGTGGTGATGCCAGACACTTACATCACGTCTGCGGGAGCGGCGGTCTGGCAGGTGATGGCGCTCACGGAGGGTTTACGGCCAGTGTGCCTATTTGCCTAAACCGTGTGACGTACATTCACTGTGGCTTGATTCGTTCGTATTCTGTATGGCGTTTACACGCATTGACATGCGCGACTTCGGTCGATGTTTGTGCTTACGCACTAACAAGGGGCCAAGCCTCTTTTACTGGTTCGCCAGTTATTTTGCTGTGGACTACGGTCCAATTCCCGAATTAGCGTTCCCTTCGGGGGGAGTGCATCAAAATGGTTGGCGCTCACCGTACACGGCGTGTGTGGGGCCGTGTGCCTCCCCCTACATTTTTTAATAAATGTAGGAGAGCGAAGCCCTTGTATCGGGTATTTTGTATAAATATATTTTGAGCCTTTTCCGAGCGGGAAGGGATAAATAATATTAAGTTAATAATGTAAACTTGATACAAGTGGAATTGGGACGTTTTATATTTTTAACCTTTCTCGAGCCCTGTCTTCGTGAACGGGGTTCACTTAGCTTATAAGGCACTACCAACAGCTTTCAATTGCTCTAGTGAATATTCATTCTTCCAAAAGACACCTAAAAGAACTAAGATACTAAACAAACACAACGTAAATAAGGGTCCTAACTAAGACGATCACGCCAAAATATTACAAACGGCCTATTATTAAACCTTTAGAAAGATCATTTAGAAAGATCAAAACATATTTTATTTATCCTAGTCACATATATATATTTTTCATTATAAAGGAGAATTAATTATATTTAATCCAATATATTTATTATTTTGAATGAGGGGGAAGCGTTACAAGAGGAAGAAGTGGAGAGTTAATTCAAAACGTAATTATGAAAGAAAAAAGAAAGAGAAAGCTATTCAATAGTTGATACTAGATAATTCTCCACCAAATAGCGACAGTGAAGTACTTCCAGCTGAACAAGATCCTCTCACTCAATCAGCTGTAAGCCCCATGCCTAATTCATGTCTAAATCGTTTGGATTACGGCAATAGTAACTCTTGTCAAGGGTGCCTAAAGAAGGATATTCTTCTGAGAAAGGTTCGCTACCTACATAAAAAAGAAATAGGCATTTTGAAACAAGAAATAGAAAAAGCGAAGAAACAGAAAGATGCCATTAGAAAAATGTTGTATAGAATAATGAAAAATATGAAGGAAAATGTAAATATATCGACTGAAGAAAAAGTAAAACAATTGGTAGAAAATGTTAATACACAAAAGCGTGAAGAAATTAAAAAGAGACTAATGTTTGGTGAAATACTTTCAAGAAGTGTTGGAGAAGGGTACAAGTGCTTGAAGAAAAAGGACAAGAAAGAATTCTCTGATGTGGTTATGACAGAAAAAGAAAAGTTTAAATATATAAACTCTTGACACAAACAAAAATATTTACAGTAAGAGATAAAAAAGAAAATAAGACAGCTAAAAATGAAAACTTGAAAGGGCATCTAATTTTGGAGTTTTTTGACGATGACGAGGTGACTAGAATTGCACCTGATAAAAAAGAATATAATTATAATGATTTCTTAAATTTACGCGAAAACTACACATTGAATAAAACTAAATTTACGGATTCTATCGCGTTTATTTAACTGATTTTACTTATTTTTAATTCCCGACGTTTCGGGTGCTTTACAGCAACCATGGTCACGGGGGAGACTGAGATGTTTGACGTCCCAATGTCATTGTTAGCCCGGCTACCTTCAGTTTTTGAATATTAATTTTTGGTCCGATTTACGCAAAACGAACTTACAGTATCTTGAAGTCTTGCAGTGGTATGCTTGGGTTTGGGTTTAATTTTGTTAATTATAGGATCCCAAGCAGATGGCAGCACCCAACCATCTTCTCTATTGAAATTAGGATGTTTTTTAATTTCAATAGCCTCGCGTATCATCCTTGGTAGGAATCGGTGTTCTTTTGCGAGGATTTGTGGTTTATCAAATATGATGTAATGGTGGGGACGATCTTGAACATGTTCACAGACTGCAGACTTCCCGGAGCGTCGGTGCTTCACGTCAGCTATATGTTCTTTCACGCGGGTTTTTATGGATCTTTTTGTTTGACCTATGTAAGAGAGACCACATTCACAATCTAACTTGTACACTCCTGCATCTTGTAGAGGGATATTACACTTGACGGATGGTAAAAATTGACTAATCTTCTTCGGCGGCTTGTAGTATGTTTTAATGGAAGCTCGCTTCAAGATGTAGCCAACCTTGTCTGTGACTCCTCTGACGTATGGTAGTACAGCAGGCACACGCTCGACTGTGGCCGGCTTCACACGGTCACTGTGACGTAGGCGCGGGATCCGAAGCTTGTTGTCTTGCAACACTTGCTTGACATGCTGCAGCTCGGCGGGAAGATGTTTTCTGTTACAGATCCCTCGTGCTCTCTGAAACAAAGATTTACCCACGGTAGCTAACTGTGAAGGATGATGGTGAGATTCACCATTTAAATATCGGTTGGTATGGGTCTTTTTTCTATACACAGTGTATAAAAAGAATATATAACTAAAAACCAAATAAGGAAGCAGAAAAGATACTTAACGGACACATTGACCAATTTGTACAAAAAATTTACGCATAATTCGAATGTCAAAGTAACCTATCAAACATTTTGTATATATCGCCCATTTTGTGTTTTATACCCAAAGGAGTCTAGTAGAAATACGTGTCCTTGCAAAGTTCATATTAATGTCGATTTGTTGATAAAATGTCTTAATACAAATAAAATACTAAAAGTATCTAATGGGACGGGTGTTTTAGAAAGCTTATGTTGCAACGTCTACGATGAAAATTGTTTGAATCGAACATGTGAAAAATGTCAATTGAAAAATTTAGATTACGCGGAATTTCATAACGACAAGAAAATTAAATAATATCAGTGGAGTACTTGGTCTGAAAAACACTATGTTAAACATGAGCAGAAATCAAAATTAGTAACAAAAAAGGAAACATTATATGATTTTCCACGAAACATTACTTTTCAATTAGAAAATACTTTGGTAACCTATATGAAACACGGCACTAATATTTTAACTCAATATAGAAATATTAAAGAGCTTAAGAATAATCTTACTCCACAAGAAGTAGTGGTTCACGTTGACTTCAGCGAAAACTCCTGCATTAAATATAACGAAGAAATCCAGAGTTTTCACTTTGGTGGCAGTAGAATGCAAATATTGATAGACCCAGAAGTTGGAATTTAAAAACAATATAGCTTTTGCACTGTAAGCGAATGCACGCAACACGATGCTGCGGCTATCTGGGCACATTTAATACCGACTATCGGATATGTGATGGAAATTTCAACTCACTTTACAATACACTTTATTTCCGATAGTCCAACCAGCCAATATCGAAATCGCTTTATTTTTTATATGATCAGCCAACTGTACCGTGATTTTCCGCAACTGAAATCTGTGACCTGGAACTACTTAGAAGCTGGACATGGCAAAGGGACAGCAGACGCAGTTGGTGCTGTTCTCAAACGAACAGCAGATGAAGTAGTCCGCTTTGGCAGTGACGTGGACTCTTAGAATCATTCTTAGCCTATCTTAGACCAAGAGTGAAGATTGACATTCGCATCGTAACAAGAAATGACATTGAAGCAAGAAGTTTTCCAACAGTCTTAAAACCAGGCAAATGTACAATGATGGTGCACCAAGCTCTTTGGTCATTTGGTTGCTCTAAAATTAGTCTAAGAAAACTAAGTTGTTTCCAATGTGGCAATAAAGTTATTTGCAGCCATGGTAAACATATTGGGCATTATAACGTTCCATACTACGAAGACGTTAATATTGACCAATTTCAGAGTTTCCTTGACGAGAATACAACACCTGATATTATTCAAGAAACAAACAACCCAGGTTTTTCTGTTACTCGATCAGATCAATCGATTATCTTCAAAGATCAATCTTCATACAGGCCGTATTCGCAAAAAGTCAAAATACTATCGGATATTAATGTGACTGATTGGGCAAATAGAAAGTTTCAAATTGATAAAGAGAATCTTGCTAAAATAAAAAAAGGTAATAATACTTATCAAACAGACTTTGAAAAATTCATTAAATGTAAGAGTATAAATGAAGAACAGAACGCCAAAGAAAATAAATACGAAACAAGTGAACAGAAGAAGAAAAAACCACTAATTGGCTTTTGGAATGACATTGACGATGAGGATATTTTTTAATCCAACAAACAGATGAGAAACCTGAGAATTCACTGTAACAATGAGCATTCCACTCATTTTTCATATTATATACTAACATAATACATCAATTTTGTCGAACTGAACAAGGAATGAAGACAACAAACATCGGTACGAACATTTCGGCGATAATGCTAGCGTGCGCTCATCGCTTAAAGTAGTAAATGCTTGTCAATTTTCTGTAATGTAACATTCGCTAGAATTTTCAGGTTTATCATCACCTTTAGAAATATGAGTTTAGTTTTGTTTAAGCCTAATTTTTTGTTTTAGCTAGAAAAACATAGAAAGATTTGACTTAATTCCTAAGAAAGGCAAGGAGAAATGATCTAATTATGTTGAGTAATATGATCATTAAATATCTATTTTAAAGTTTAATTTTAGTACAGCAATTAAGTAATTTTTTATTGATTTGATTAAAAATGCATATTCTATGATATCATTGCCTTCTGTTTGTTTTCATTACCTTCGCACCCCTATTCCTTCATTTAACGACTCAATATCATTCCCCTCCTTCACGTTCTCATTACCGTTTCTTTACGATTTTTGATATGACAGTAAATTTATTATTATCTATACAAGGAAGGTAGAAACCACAAAAAGTAGAAGGATTTTATGGATATTAAAGATATTGAGGTAAAAAACGAAGTTATTCGGCAATAAATTTGACATTTACAAATGTCGTGGAATTTGCACGAAATACGCGAAACACCCAGTTGCGGACGCAGAGACGTAAAAATAGTGTTTTGAAGCATATCAAAGTGCGGAAATTCCTCCACAAATTACAAATTTTCGAATAAAGGGATAACATTTCATAAATAAGTACTTAGTGTTTTAAATAATGTTGTGTTTGATGAAATATACTTAAATAAAATTATCCACCTCCAGTACTACGATTGTCTCCGAAATTTTAATTGTTTACACATTTCAATATCCATTGAATCCAAAGCTAGTTCATGTCAACCAGTGCGACAGCTAAAATCAGCGATGGATTTATAGTATGGGCGATATACAAAATTGTTACGTAACGTAAATTTCCCAGAACATGGCCGCAGGAGTCGAATGCGAGTCAGTTACGTAACACAACTATTTTGTATCGATAATTTATTATGTTTGGCTTACCTAGTTTTAACGAAACGGGAATTAAATGTGATTTTTCGTTAAATATTTATTTAGTTACACCTTTCTACTTTTTTCTTTCTAAATATTTTATACTGTTAACCGTTTTTCGGCGATTATCTGTTTGTTTGTACTTTTAAATTACTTGATAAATTTTTAATCAGTTATATTGTAAGGATAAGTAATTATATTGTAAGGATAGTAGTCTTAATTCGATTTGTAAGAAGCCGGGAAACTGAAAAGTAGCAAACAGAAAGTCAGTTACAGATCTTTAAAACTAATAAAAAATGATAAATATGTCACCTATACATATATTTATTCGTTTGCGGTTTGTGTAATGTTGTATTAATTTTATTTATACATCTGTTTATTTAATACAATGCTTTTATTACAAGTTTCCAAAAGATACGGTTATTAAAGATAAATGGATATATTTATTCTTAACGTTTTTTTATAGAAGAGGGGGCAAACGAGCATGCGGCTCACCTAATGTTAAGTGACTACCGCCGCCCATGCCAATGCCAGTGAATCGAGCCGATCGGAAAGCACTCGGTCGTCGACGATTCGAGCCGCTCTGCGCTGGATGCGGTCAAGTGGAAGAAGCTGGTACTGGGGAGCCCCAGCCCAGAGATGGGAACAGTATTCCATGTGCGGCCGAATCTGCGCCTTGTAAAGTTGCAGGCGGTGTGGCGGCATGAAGTACTGTCCCACTCTGCTGAGCACGCCAAGCTTTTTAGAAGCCAATTTGGCCTTCTCTTCCAAGTGACCACGAAACTGCACGTCATTCGATATGTCGATGCCGTTGATTCTGATACTGGCTGAGGCAACAAGGGGAGTGCCTTGAAACTGAAGAGATACGACAAAGGGGTTCTTTTTAGCGGTTAACGCGCAAACTTGTGTCTTCTGGTGGTTAAAGTGGACTAGATTTGGTCGCCCCCAATCCGAGACTCTGTTCAGCAAAGACTCGACTTCAGACACAAGTTTGTCCCGGCACTCGGGGACGTTTTACCGAGAAATATTGGCTCTGCCGGTGTAAAGAGCATCACCAG